TCTTTCTTTCTTTCCTTCCTTCCTTCCTTCCTTCCTTCCTTCCTTCCTTCCTTCCTTCCTTCCTTCCTTCCTTCCGTCCGTCCGTCCGTCCGTCCGTCCGTCCGTCCGTCCGTCCGTCCAATCCTTACTCCCGCGTCTGCACGGACGTGCTTGGCAACCTTTATGACAGCAGCGTTCTTTTCTTCGCCTCTTTACCAAGATTCAGTTTAAAGCTAGTTCGGCGTTTCTCTTTCCACGTCAAAGCTATCTTTCTTTAATTCAGTGAAACCTTCTAATAGTCTTGTGAAGTTAATTTCGCAACACGCGCATAGATTTAGCCGGAGGGAAGCCCCCAGGGGCTCCTTTTGTGTTCTCGCCCTCTTTCCCAACACACCCCTCCTCCCCCCCCTCGCGGGCTTCTCGTCTTCTGGCTCCGCCCAAGTTTTCCAAGCACATGCGCAGTTGTTCGCGTCGTACTTTTTCCTTCGGAGCATTGTGGGAGAAAAATGGCGGCCGCCGTTCGGGCGCTGCAGGAAGTGTCCTCGAAGGTGAGTTATAGGTTCGTGCAGTTTTCTTCCCCGCGTGTGCATTTCTCGCTTTGGCCTACACTGGCGGTGCCTTTTGTTTCTAGGCTTCGGGAGGCAGGGAATCCTCGTGCAGTGCTCCCTGTCTTGCGGGTCTGGCTTCCCTTCTCTGGTGATACGTCGTGCCTTTGAAAAAGAGCCCCACCTGCGGAGCTGAAGTTGTCTTGACCAAAAATGCGTCACCTGCGTCCTTCCTGATGGCTCGCTAGGAGGGGAAAATGTTTTTGTGTGTACAGTACTATTGGGGAATCTGCCCACAATAGTGCTTGGGATTCCAGTTCTCAAACTTGCTAAGTGACATTCAGGAGAGGTTATCTCGAAATTGAGTCATGGCAACTGGACTTCTTTCTTGTTAGGTTGAAATATTCTGCTATTCATCCAAGTAGCTTCTTCAGTCTGAGGAGAGTTGGTAGGAGACCCCTGATCTATCCCCCAGATTGGTTTCACGTCACCCTTGTCTGAATAGACTATTAGCCTATTCAGACTGAAGAAGCTACTTGAATGAATAGCCAAATATTTCAGCCTAATAAAAAGCCCAGTTGCCATAACTCAACTTCCAGATTCGACTGAATAGTTTGCCCCTTTTAGAAAATTTTTATAAACAGAAACTACATTTGGTAGTAAATTATTTGTCATTTTGTGTACTTCATTTCTAAGACTAACTTGCCAAAGCACCGAGAATAACGAAAGGTTATCATTCAAGAAAAGATGCACATATAAATATCCGGATATTTGTACCTGATTATTTTTGTAAGATGTGTCAGGTTTCAATCTAATTTCACTGCATTGTAATAGGTTTTTTCCATGCCATATGTTGGGCAAGTAAGAGGTTATTATGTGGACTGGCGGATGTTGCGTGATGTTAAGAGAAGAAAAATGGCCTATGAATATGCAGACCAGAGACTACGGCTCAATTGTCTTAGGAAGAACAGGATTTTGCCCAAAGAACTCCAGGTAAGAAGAAAATTGCTGTCCTCAAGGTATTCTGGATTCTAGCAAGGAAGCAGCAGTCCGTCTCCCCCGTAATAAACTATATCACAGTTTTTCCAATTTTACCTGTTACGCTTTCCACTAGGTAACAAAGAGAATCTATTTAGTTCTTGAATTCATTGTCTACTTCATGTCCATTTCTTCTGTATATTTGTCTCTTTTTCACCATATTCAGAATATAGGTAACGACTCCATTATCAGTCATATTGATGGATGTATTTAATATAAACAAGTGTGAAAACCAACTAAGTAAATCCTAATAAAACTATTTTCAACATCCAGTGAAAAACATACTGTCATAGAATCATAGAACACTAGAGACAGAAGGGACCTCAGGGATCATTGTGTCTCTTTATACTTTTTAAAGGATCTGCTTGATTGGAGTACTTTATCCCAGTCAGTGCAACATAGAGCATAAGGTTCCTGCATACCCAACACCGTGTGTTTGCCTGCCCCCCCCAATCTCTAACTTACCGTTACATAAGCTAGAGATCATACCATCATAAACAGGCCTTTGTGCTTCCAAAAGGTTATTCTTCCTTTCGCAAGCAACTCTAAAAGAGGACCCATGCGCAGGGCAATTCCAGCTATGGCTTTCCTCAAGGAGGAGAATGCCTGATTATGTGCTTGTTCACTCTGTAGATATGCAGCTGTGTGTGGGGAGAGAGCAGTTGTTAACATTTGATGGAGTACAAGGAGGATTAATAAGAAAATGACATTTAGGAAATTCTGCTGTTTTATGTATACTTTATTGTGGCCAGATCTCTAGAGTAGGACTTTTATTTGTTGAAGTCACCTTTAGTTGAAAATTTGAAGATGGTCCATGATAAAATTTCTAATTGTTGAGAGAGTTGTCATTTTGTTCCAATCTACTTTATGCTGGTTACAAATATATATATTGAAGTTGAGATGGGACTCCCATGAGGTGCATGTTCATATGTACCAAAGAAAAGAAAAAAATTGTCTTACATTTTGTTTCAGGAAGTGGCAGATAAAGAGATTGCTGCCCTACCACGGGATAGTTGCCCTGTGAGGATCCGCAATCGGTGTGTTCTGACTTCACGTCCACGAGGTGTAGTCTGGCGGTGGAGGCTCAGTCGAATTGTCTTTCGCCATCTGGCTGATCATGCCCAGCTCTCTGGGGTACAGAGGGCAATATGGTGACCTGTGAACAACCCTGTTCTTCAAACATGTCAAAGCAGTCCTGCTTGAATTCCTAAAATTAGTAACATGCAGCCCACAAAGAGCAAGAGATGGGAAATGCAGATTACTTGGAAACTGTTGCAGAAAGAGACTTGTTTGATTTTGTCAAGACTTTGAAATAAGTGTTGTTTTTTGTCATCCAGAAAATGTGATAAAAAATAAACTTCTACATCTGTTTAAATTTCAGCTTGTCATGCAGTAGTATAAAGCCATATAATGTGACACTGCAGAAGCCCCCTCGTTCTCTGTACATTGGCATACAGAATGGGGCCAATCGGTACATTCCTGGATCTACATTTAAAGGGTTAGGCATAAACAGCTCTGACCTAGGGGAGGGGCTACACAGTGTTATAGGTTTGGGACAGTGGAGGGAAAGCCCACTAGTTTCAGGAGGCTAGTAAAGGAAGACTGGTCTCTCTGGGCATCCTACAGAAAGCAAGCAGTGGTTATTTCTCTGACTACACCAAAAAGATTTTTTTTAAAAAAACTATGGAAGACAAATCCAAAGTCTATAACCTGCCTGCTCAAGCTAAAAAAAATCATCTATTAACACAATCACAGCAGTATTACTAAATTAAGCTGAGAGGGAACAAAGCAAAAGGATATTCCAGCATGCAAAAAACTGTTTTAATACTGTCCTGAGTCTTTCTCATCTTATACGTGTGTGTGTGTATGTATATGTGTGTATATATATACACACTCTTCTGGTTGCTCTATCTGCTATATATATACAGTACTTTGTGCAGTAACCTCAGACTGGCCCCTCCCTGGTGCTTCAGTGGTTGGGAGTACGAGTTGCATTTTCAGGGCTACTTTTCATTTGCCTTCCCCTCTGGCATGGAAAGCTCTGTCTTCCCTGTTCTTCAGTTCATACGGCTAATCTTTCTAATTCAGTGAATGCTGAATGGGATACTAAGGACTGTTGTATTGCTACACTCCATAATGGCACAAATACCCTCATTTGGTGTGTTTTTACACATTTGACTGGAGATGGTAGCAACTGTTACTACAGCAACATTTTAAATTATTTGCTTGGTCTATTACTCTTCCCATGATCTGTTACTGATGGTGGTAAAACCAAATATTTGTCTGTTCTACATGGAAACTTAACTAATCATTTCCATAAGATTATCTGAGTAATGGACTTAGCAGTTCTGTTATATTAGGGTGAGTAGTAGCCCTCAAGTTCTGAATTTTCATCAGCTACAAACACTGAAAGGGATGGATGGAATTGTGGTCAAGCAGCACATGGATACTCCTATATTGTCTGCCCTGTAGTACAAACAGGTAGGTCAGTACTTTTTGACTGTGCCCAGAAGATGCAACTTCCAGTTTCTGAAGAAGCAGCACCAAGGTGTCTTCCTGATTCTCTCCTTTTAAGGTCCTCCAGTTCACACATTTGTTCTGAAGTGCATGTCCTCAATAATCCTCAGGGTTGCAAATTTAGTCTCCTTGTATATTAATTATTTATTAAGTAATTAATTACATCAGTATTCCACCTTTCCTCCTTATACAGGTAGGATAGTAGATTGATTGTAGACAATACATACATGCATTTAAGCCAATTTACTTATTTTTGGCAGTCTTACAAAACAATGAAGACTCAGAGCCTTAAGGAAGAAGGGTGACAACACATTTAAATAGCATGCTTTACAGCATATTTTATTTCCCCATCCCCCAACTAAAATGTAAAACTTGTATAGCCTTTGTTCAAAAGACAGTTATGTAAATGTTTTTTCTTAACTCATCACAGCTGAAACCCTGTAAAGAAAATGCATGTTACGATGACTAGCCCGGTGTGCAGTACTGTATTTATTTAGATATCTAGTGGTTGTTCTTCTCTAGCTTGCTTTTCTCGGCTCTCAACCCAAGCTTTGTTAATTGATCTCTTCATTTCATCATCTCCTTCTGCATACATCTTCTTCAGGAGATTCATTAATCCTTCACTAGGGTCAGATGTGTCATAGGAAGCTTTTCTAAGGTAGATAAATGTACACAAAAAATCAAAATATACCACATACATTCTTAATCTGATGTGCTTCTGAAGACTTTAATACAAGAAAACAAATGGTCCATTGATGAAAACTCACCTGAGATTAAGTTGTCTAATGAAAAAAGTGGGATATGCATAGAAGGATTGTTAGTGCAATCCTATGGATAAATTTCCATAGTTCGCATGGGGAAGGAGGGGGACAAGATGACTTTCATATCTTCTGTCCCTTCCCACCTCCTGAAGCTGTGTAAATTTATGGTCAGCCACATAAACTAAATGTTTCACAGTCTGCATCTGACCAAAGACAGAGGTAGGAAGCTAAGAAATTCCAGGCACTACAAACATTGTTACAGTACTTTGTATTTGAAGCAGAATACTGTACTCTAACACTGGTTCTTAACCTTTGTTACTCAGATGTTTTTGGACTGCAACTCCCAGAAACCTCAGCCAGCAGAGCTGATGGGGAAGGCTTCTGGGAGTTGCAGTTCAAAAACACCTGAGTAACAAAGGTTAAGAACCAACTCCTATGTAGCAATTCTACCAAAAGGAAAAAGGTAGCAAAGACAACATTTGTGTCAGAAGTATTACAGAACTAAAATGAGCACCACACTGGGACAAAGAAGAGAGTACATATTCTCTACAGGAGCAAGGCAATTACTAAAAAGGTTTTCCTGCATATTAAATATCACAAGTTTAAGATCTTATGGAGTCAGATTTTGCCAAATGACAATTTCTTACTACCTGAATTAGCACACTGTTTATTCCAGAAATACTTGAATCCTTGAGCACAATACAAAGTTTCATATCTGTTTAATTGGGAGTGATATGCAGATACTGACATTCTTGTAAGAACACAGGAAATGTAAATACAAAAGAATGATCCCAGTGTGATCCATGATAGGAGAGGGAAAAGACCTTTGCACCACAAAATTATCAAAACCTTGATTTTTTATATTTCAGAGTTCAAGTAAAGTTATTGCACAACTTTGATTTAAAATACTGGCCATCAACAGCTACCACAAAAATACTTTTGCAATAGATGTCAGTTCAATTTACAGTGCACCCACTGAAATCATGGGAATTGTATTACTGTGTCTAACAAATTCCATTCATTTCAGTGTGTCTATTCTCCACAGAACGAACAAAAAATTTGCCCAGAGATCTCCCTTCCAGATTAGGACAGCATAAAGAGGAGATCTAGCAAGGGAAAAGATTTAGGCTAAAATATCTTTTTTCCACGAATACTTGACAATCAAAATTTAATGGCACAGTTCAAGCAACACAGGAGAACCTGTGAGACGCTTGCATAAAAAGTGTTGTTAGGGAGACTACAAATTCCAGAGTTAGCAATGGTCTGACAATAGTCCTAATCTGCAAAAGTCGCCTGCTCATCCTCTAGGTGGATGAACAGGCAACTTTTGTAGGGGGATGAGCAGGTGACTTTTGCAAGCATCAGTGGAATAGTGAGTTAAGTCCTTTTCTGCACTGAGCAATGTAACAATAGAACAAAAACCGAAGTACACTTACTCTTTCTCCTTAGTCTCTTTTTCAACTTGTGTCAGGCACTCCCATTTTTCCTCTTGTTTCTTTTTACATAATATCAAGACCATATCTGTTTTGATCTATAAAAAGAATGAAGTACTACAAATGTTCAAAAAGTGAGATACAGTAGAATTTCTAGACAGGATACCAGTTACACTTAATTGTAGAAACTACTGCATGGAGAGTTTGCATAAGTTGACGCAGCCTATTAACAAAGTGCTGAAGTGCATTTCAGTTGTGCAGTCCTATGCATAGTCACGTATGTGACAGATACACCCCACCACCTCATTAATTAGCTGCAATTAGCCACTGCAAGTTACACAAACCTTATGTGAACATAAAAAAATGGTCATTACAATTTTAAAAATACAAATGCCTGTTATTTAAAACAATAAGGAAAAATGACTATCCTTGAGAAATTGAATATCAAACGTAGATTCATTCAAGGATTTATGTTGCTACTAATGTTATGAAACAGACCACTCTTTACTTTCAGAAATATAGAAGGACCAGCTAGGGGTGCAAGCAGTTGGATATCTTTCTGCTAAGCTCAGGAAGCAGAAACTCTCCCATCTCATATCAGGTCCCACACTGCTTGTGAAAGTTCTATATACTGTACAAAGACATGTTTCCTTGATAAGGAATCTCTCGTTCATGGTGAGGAGGAACATGCCTAATAATGGGAGATGCTCAACAGCTGAAGGGGGATTATCATTTCACCAATAAAATGTAACTTCACCAAGAACTACCTTTGCAACACTTGGCTGCAACCTTTGACTGTGCAGTGGTATTGACAGGAGAAGGTAAGTACTTGAAGGAATAGCCCCCCCCCAATTGGGACAGGGATCAATCAGGTTTCAATGGATCCTGCAGCAGTGGCTGCCTTTCCCCCCCCCCCAACTCTAACAAGTGCCTAATAATAAACTTAATAATAAAGCTGCCAGGAAAAACATACACAAGTAGATCTCAAAGTGCTGCACACATACCAACCTACAAAATTGTTTCTACTTGAGATGCACTGACCTTCCATGAGCTGCCTTCCACGGAGATGGGTTTCAAAAGGTTGTTGAATGTCATGGCATAATTCTTGTTATTTAAATTCTTCACCAATAGATCAAATGATCTAAAATTAAAAGAAAGGATAAATGCACTTCTAAGATCTCCTAAATGTGGAGGAAAAAGTGACACAGGAAAGCAGCAAATAACATTAATTTGATGCTAAAATCCAGTTTGAGTCTGGGGGGGGGGGAGAACTTTGGATAAAATACAGACAACTGCAGTACTGAAGGGATCCAGAGTGAGCTTCAGCTATGCATTTAGACAAGGTATGATTTATGCATTACAGCTACTTTTCTTGAGGTTTTGAGTGCCCTCATCAACAAAAGAAACAATCAGGATTTGAATGATAAAGAACTCAGTCCATTCACTTATTCATTCTGTCTTCGTAAAAAAATTGTTTGGGCTGCCCCCATTTCTATAACTGTTTTGCAGAATGTGGAATTGCTCACCTACACAAATCCACTCACCTTTATTGAGGACTGTTAAGAATCTGGACTTCCACCTAAGCTCTGGTTTTGGAAAACTACCCTTCCTTTCCACAAATGCTTTCCTTCCTTTCAGTCAGAAAACTACTTGCTGCCTAACCACTGTGGGCAGAAAGCAAAACCATGCCCTCTTTCTTCTCTGTGGAGGAAAGGGCCAACCCTTTCCCATTCTTTCCCACTTTGGTTCATAGTGTATGGCAAATATTGATGCTTGTGAATTCTCCAAAAACATAAGTCACAGATTTTTTTTAAAAAAATTGCTAGTTATGGGGACAAAATGAAGAAGTTTTGAACTAAGTGGACAGGTTTTTTTTGTTTCTAACAAATAATGTGCTGTGTTTCACCGAAAATAAAACAGGTTCTTATTTTTGCTCCAAAAAAAAAAACACATTAAGGCTTATTTTCAGGGTTCTTTTATTTACAATAATCTACATTTATTCAGATATAGTCATGTCATATTTTTTGGTTGCTGCAGAATGGTGGAGGGTGGGGTTTCACTTAACTGGGGCTTATTTCGGGGGGCAGGGCTTATGAACATCCTGAAAAATCATACTAAGGCTTATTTTCAGGTTAGATCTTATTTTTAGGGAAACAGTATTATTCTAAAGACTGGTGGAAAAAAGATGAAAGTCAGTCCACTAATTTCTCTATGGAGAAAAGAGTGGTACTTCCTTTCCTTCAGCTTTTTGTAGGATGCAACAAGAAAGTATGGTTGGTTATTTCTGATGGGTGGAAGAAAATAATGATAGGACCATCCCCACAGGGAATGGGGAAGAATGAAGATGTGGCTTTCTTCTGGTAAGTTATGCTTTTGCAGAAAATACTAACCCTGCACTATATTTTCTGGTGTTTAGTACCAACCTGTCTGTGAAGCTCACGTGCACATTCTCAGCTGACAGATGCTGAACTCCATTTAAAGTGATGTAGATTTTCACAAACTTATCTGACTGATCCCAAGCTAAAAGGATGAAAAGAAAACCATATGATTTCTAAATGCTCTTCCAAGCGAGTAAGAACTGGTCTTCACTTCCCATTCTCCAAAGGAGCTTTCAAATCCCATCCACAGAACAAATGCACTAAAAATCATAGAATCATGAAGTTGGAAGTCCTATTGAGTTCAACTCCCTGCTCAATGAAGGGTATACAAATCAAAGTATATCTGCCAGGTGGCTGTCTAAAATTAGAGACATGCAATATAGAGGACATTGACAAAGAAAGGCAAGGTAGAAATAATTCTTGTAGATCTGAGTAAGGTCAGGCCAGCTGTAATAATTTCACTATGATAAATTATAGTTCATTAAACCATTAAAGGTGCACCATTTGATTTTGTTTTGCTTTTTTGGACACCAAATCCCCCCTCAAATAAACATGAATGGTACACTCTGCCTACAAACATGTGCCCTGCCTAACACTCTCCCTTGCCCATCATCTTACATGCCTTGTTTTGTGCTCCACACACAATTCTCCTGTTTCCAAAAGAGAGAAAAAAACTCATATTTGAAGCAGAGTTATTGTTGAAGCTATTCCCGCAAAAGAAAGAAAATTCAGACCACAGGCCACCTCTGCACTCAAAGCACAGCCATACTGCTTAATTTCTAACCCAAGTAGACACATGTGAAGTCCATTTTTCAATTCCCTAGAGAAAGAAAGCAAAGTGTGTTGCTTATATACTGTTGGAGTCACGAAGTTAGAAGGCTGACGGACTTTGTGGTGATCACCAGATAATTAGGATAGCAAAGAGTCTCTTAGAAATACAGTGGTGCCTCGCTTGATGATGACCCCGCTTGACAACGCAATCACTTTACGATGACTTTTTTGTGATCGCTATAGCGATGATTCCAATATCGCTATAGCGATCACAAAGCGATGATTCCAACAGGATTTTTTCGCTTGATGATGAATAGTTCCCTGCTTCAGAAACTGATTTTTCGCTTAACAAACAGCTGATAGGCGGTTCGCAAAATGGCTGCCCGCTGTTTTGCTGACCCATTTTCGCAAGACAGGGAGCGGAAAATGGCTGCCCTATGGAGGATCTTCGCTGCACAAGCAGGTATTTCCCCCATTGGAACACCCTGACCAGTTTTCAATGCATTCCAATGGGTGGTTTTTTTTTTCGCTTGACGATTTCGCTGTACAGCGATTTTGTTGGAACACATTATCGTCGTCAAGTGGGGCACCACTGTAGAGGTTAAAGAAGTCAGCCACACACAGAGGGATGTCTGCCAGCAGTGCTCCTGGTGGGCGACTAGTAGAAGAGGCAAAATAACACCGAATGGGTTCCCAGTGCATTCTGCCCTGCCCCCAGGAGGACTGTCCTTTTATTAACATTACAAGCTCTCAGATAGTGACAGTATACAGATAGGTTACAGAGTTCAGATAGGACAATGGTTTCATCATGCCTTTAGGACTGGCCTAGGGAAAGGCAATTAAGCAAGCTCTCTGTCACCTATGAGAAAGAGGAAGAACGGTGGTAACTTCCCCTCTTGGAAGCAGCTATGACATCATCCAGGAGAATTTTCTATACACTGAAGAATCAGCCAATAGCTTAGCAACTTTGGGGAGAAGCGTTCCCCCACAATATACCGCTCCATAGTGTTTAAATCACTCTCTGGGTGTTCCACAATTTTAAAAAAACATTTATATAGGCGAGCTGGGTATTCATTTTACTGACCTTGAAAGGATGGAAGGATAAGTTAACCATGACCTGGCTGTCAGATCTATTGTATCAAATGCTGACTGTGAGTAGAGTTTTGGCTGCAGTACTAGTTTAACCTCTATGCCACGAGGCAACTAAGATGAAGCCCATAAAACACAACAAGACTTTCTTCCTCTAAATATAGAGCAAGTGGAGTGGAGTCCAATCTTTGTCATGCCTTATATAGAGCTGAAGATAAAGTACAAGGAGGATACTTTAACAGGTCCATGCTTTGAGTTAGAGGGGCTAATCATATTTCCTTTCCTTGGCAGGAGAAGCTTTAACCATACTGGGTTTTTGTTTGTTTGTTTTTTGTTTTTGCTCTAAATAAACCACCTTTCACCTTCCTTGGGCCACATTAGAAAATGAAAATTTGGTTTGGGCCACACATACATTTGGTTTGGGCCGCATGGGGGGGGCAGCCCTAGCCGTCCTCCACAGCCCCGCTCCAAGCGCGCTTACTGGCAGCTGCGATCTCAGACAGCAGAGGCTGCCAGCTTCGATTCCAGCAGCTTTATGGGGCCAGGAGGGGGTCCACCTATTGACGGAGACGTCACAATGCAGCCCCCCTGTCCCCTCCCCTCCCACTCCTTCCTTCCTTCTCTCCCCCTCTACTGTTGTGACATGCCCCGGCCACATTCCTGCCGCAAGTGCTGGCAGTGTAACTTGAAACTTTGGAATTTCTTTAAAAATAAAAAATTGCACTGGGCCACATTACGAGCTGACCTGGGCTGCATGCGGCCCTCAGGCCGCAGGTTGGACAAGCCTGCTCTAAACTACAGAGGTTTCCCCCCCCTCTTCTGGGAACTTCCCTGCTTCTTGAAACACAGGGATACATAAACATGAATAGGAGAAAGAAAATCTGTCTTTACTGAACAATTTGAGAGATTTTTTTAAAGATCTAAATAAACAAAGCATGCAATCAACATCTTGGACTCATCAACTTTTCCCAAATAATTCAGTCTCTAAGGAAATCACACCCATTCACAAGGTAGGAGATGCCAATTTCAGCAGTCCTGCATACTACAATTGGCCTCTCCCAATTTGAAGGGGCACTTGTTCAGCAGGCTGAGGCAAAGAGGAAGTCCCAAAACCAGAAAAATCAGGGAGCTGGATGTTGAGATTTTGATATGAAACTGTATTAAATATTAATGTTGTATAGTTAAATATAAAATGGTTGATTTTACCTGAGTCACTGTACTGACTGTGTTCAGGTGTGAGTATCAAGGATTAAGACTTCATGTTGTACAGCTGTGTACATGATGAAACTTTGTGTAACAGAACATTAAGTAATTTATTTTCTGATTGGTCACAGAACTTACTGTACATAGGTCATGTGTAAAAGGAACGCCTTTATCTGCTGTAAGTCAGATCATTTTTTCCTAATGCTGTGTGTTGCTTCACGTCATGTCATGCTGCCAGAGGAATGTCTCTTCTCTATGTACGTATGTATATCGACTAAGATGTTGGTTTTACTCTCTCAGTGTCATAAGTATCTCTGCTAACCAATATCTCCTTACTCTGCTGATGTTATGAGAATACACATTACAGTGGTGCCCCGCATAGCGACGATAATCCGTTCCGGAAAAATCATCACTATGTGGAATCGTCGCTATACGGAACAAAAAAGCCCATAGGAATGCATTAAAACACGTTTAATGCATTCCTATGGGCTTAAAACTCACCGTTATGCGAAAATCCTCCATACGGCCGCCATTTTTGCTGCCCGGTAAGCGAGGAATGGGTGTGAAAACACAGCAGGCGGCCATTTTTTTTTACCCGGTGGCCATTTTGGAACCGCCGATCAGCTGTTTAAAAAACATCGCTATGCGAAAATCGATAAGCGAAACAGCTTACCGATCGTCGTAAAGTGATTTTTTGCTATCTAAATCATCGCAATGCGATCGCAAAAAAACCATCGCTATGCGGATTCATCATTAAACGGGGTGCCCATTATGCGGGGCACCACTGTATAATCAAATTTCTCAAAACTGGACAGGGGACATTGTATTTGTCTTCAGTGTGGAAGGGATGGTCACTGTCGAATTGTCCTTCTCAGCCACACTAGATGCTATTCCAAGACCAGAGCACATTACCATAATCTCTCCAGACTGAAAGATGCCTACACACATACTACAAAGTGTTACTCACAAATCTGGCCCCCTTGAACAACTGTCATGCTTGAAGTTCTCCCTGAGAAGCACATCCCAATATCAAGGTATTCACCCTTGCTTCCCAATAATAACTTGTACCGAGTGTAGCAAATAAACAGTGGACATCAGATGTGGTGTTTGGCTTTGAATGTAAAACTCAAACAGACATGTGCAGTTTACTGGAAACTGATGGTTTCAATATTCTCTTCATCATATTGTATTAATGCAACAAAAACATTACAGAAAGACTGGATCTTTATTACAAAAACAGTAGTAAAAGTAATTACCATAATTGTTGATTTTCACTGTATATCCTGTCAGCGATGTTTTTTCTTCTTCAGAGGACTCAGCTTTTAGTTTGAGTTGTGGCCGGTTCTTGATTTCTCGCTCTATCTTATTCTTCTCTGCCAAGAGGACATCATAGAGTCTCTTTCTTGTTGCTTTTTTTAAAAGGTCTTTCACCTCATCTAAATCTTTCTGCAACTAGACATAAGACATCAGGTAATAATAATAAGAAAATCATTAAATACTTGTCTCTGTCATCTGAAAGTACTTACTCCACTATATTAGTAATTCTTTCTAGATTACAAACTGATTAAGTAACAGAGATAAAAGTAATAAGGGTAATCTATCAAATCCATGCAAAAAACAAACAACAATATTTGGATAGTTTAAAAGATGTGATTAAGAAGGGAAGGCATCCTGAGAAGAGCTGGCTGCTTGTTTGCCCCCCCCCTTTCTGTCACAGGTAGGCAACTTCAGCCTCAAAGATGGTCCTCAACTAGATTCTGAAAGCCCCCTGCAAGCCATCAGTTCATGCCTCTTGCAAAAGATACCTGCCCCTCTGTGAACACACCACTGGCTGAGAAGAAAAAGGAGGGAGATGCCAGCAGGAACATGTACCTTCACAGAAAACACTCCCCACCCTATTGCAATAAGAAGCATAAAGTTCCATGTCATCATTCCAAATGTCTGCAGTCTTCTCTTCCAAGCATCAGATGCATTTTGTCTAATCTCCCCATGTTTATCCAAAAGGTTGTTTCCTCTGCTCTTCTGCATTACAGCTACCCGGCAAGTGCTGTATACATTTGCAGTCTTGTGAACCTCTCTGAACTGGTATGACATGGTCCAAAAAAATGAAGAGCCCTCTCTGCATTGGTTTTTGTAAGATAAATTTGTCTACATGCATTGTCTTCTAGCTATATTCAAAAAACATTCTTTTACATCTCTGTAGATGATGCTGACAGAAATCATCTTGCATCTACAAGGTACAAAAGATAAATTCTGGTGTGGTAAAGATGACTTTCTGCACAGACCAGTTGTATTCACACAAACTAACTATTTACTTGGAAAATAAGACCTATCTCACAGGAGACGGAAAGCAGAGTTTAGCCAGCCAAGAAAAAAATGGTCTTATTTATATATATTAGCATGTTGATTTTAATCTTATTTATATCTTGCCATTTCTCTGAAAGACTCAAAACAACTTATATAAGATTTCTACTTTGTTATCACAATGACATGGAAACACTTAACAAGAGGAAGTACAATTTCTTTGAGACAAAACTATATATTCCTTCAAGAACCATTAATCATGCTTAATATTAATCTTAGTTTGTTGTTTAATTGCAAGGCAGACAGCACCTAACAAAGCCAGAAGTTGAACGGTTGCAAAGTTTTGGGAAACATTAATTTTGACTTATCTTCACAATTTCTAGTTTGTTTCTCTCTCACCATTTTTGTCAGCTCTTGGTGAAAAATGGGCACCTTGTGAACAAAGTCAGGGACAGGCCACACCTGTAGGCTCTGATATCATAGCAAGCCATACTTGAAATGAACTACAGTTTATACTCTACCAAACATTTGAAAAACAAACTGCAAGAATTTCAGAAAGACATAATGTAGTAGTAATGGGAAATTAAATTGCCCTGAAATCTGTTGGGAAGCAAAATCTGCCAAATATGGCCCTTCAAAGAAATTCCTGGCTTGTGTGGTAGGGGAAGAAATCGGAGGAGATGATACCTTGAATAGGACTCTAACCCATACTGGAAGAAGTGGCCGTAAAGGGAACTCTGAGGGAAAGTGATCACGCTATATTGGAGTTCTTGATTTCAAAGGACGCAACAGTCTAGTGTACACACTGGATGCACACATGCACACACTGGATTTTACTTGTTTTTTTAAAATGTTTTTACCCCACCTTTCTCCTTGAAAGGACCCAAGGCGGCTCACATCATTAAAAAGACAATATAAAAAGCTGAAAACTGTAAGTGCTCAAGTATTAAAAACTAATTAAACAAGTATCATGTTAAGAATGGTAAATAAAATGACTACTAAAAACACATTTTAAAGCAAAAATTTTAGGAAAGCCCATTTTAATAAACTCAGAACAATGATAAGTGAAGGCCCAAAGCAAAGGATATTAACAAGAAAAAGAATCCAAGATGGATGGAAGTTTCTAAGGGCACATTTACAAATACAGTAGTGCCCCGCTACACGATTACCTTGGACCCATGGCAATTTGCATACAGGAGAAATAGATCTACTGATGATGCTGTGTCCATTGTACTCCATACTGTATTGAGCCACTTAGAACAGGGAACTTGTGCGAGGCTGTTGTTTGTGGATTATAGCTCTGCTTTTAATACCATTCTACCAAATAGGTTGTTTTTTAAAATGATCAACCTGGGATTACCTCAGAAGATCTGCGTGTGGATAAAGGACTTTCTGACAGAAAGACCACAGTCAGTAA